GTACTTGATTTTTATGGTATAAGGCAGGGCCTTTTCTTCCTCTTGATAGATGAGGCCATGGTGTAAATGGAAGTTTCAGAGAGGACACAATAAAACTGAATTCCATTTTTCTCTCACTGTATTAAAGCTTTTGTGTGTGATCTTTTAAATTCTGATAATGTATTGTAGCTCTCCTGCGTAGATCTGAGCTCAGAACAGTTTACACAGCTGTTCTTCTGTGTCTTCACAACTTTTAACTGGATTTCATTTCAGGATTGGAAATACGTGGCTGTCATGCTGTGGTTGTGTACATCTTACTAATTCAGAATGCAAGATTCACCAGGAAGATGATTTATTTCTGTCATCTGGATAGGTTGTTTCCATCTGGGTTTTGCAAAACTGTCAGACAACGTGGAAAAAAAGGAGGGAGGATGCTTCTTGTAGCAGTAGGAATTCAGCTATAGGAAAGTCAGCTGTAAGCTAATGTGGCATCTTATTTGCTTTGCTTACATTTCTCCATTAAGAAGTATCCAGGGAAAGATTGCTAAGGGCCACATTTTTGGAAAACTAGGAAGATTTTCATTAGACTTTTTTTTTTTCTTTTCTTTTTAAAAAAGTTTTAATTAAAAAAAATTTTTTTTTTAATAGAGATGGGGTCTCACTGTGTTGCCCAGGCTGGTCTTGAACTCCTGGACTCAAGAAATCCTCCCACCTCAGCCTCCCAAAGTGCTAGGATTACAGGCATGAGCCACCCAGCCTTTTAAAAAAATTTTTTTTGCCTTTTTTTTTTTTTTTAATTAAAAAAAAATAGAGACAGGGTCTCAGATTTTCATTCGATTTAGAAAACAAGTTAGAATGTTGACTTTGGAGCCAGATGAACTGATACCAGTTAGCCAGGCACATGTTCTTCCAGGGTCTTTGGCTAGGTAACATTAGTGATTTGCTTCATGAAAATTCAAGAACCTTTTCAGAACCAAGTACCTAGATTACCTTCCCAATCAGGTAGAACTTAAGACAGGGTCCGCAGAAGTAGACACTTAATGCTGTGGTTCAATAAATACCTCCCCTAAGTATTAAGTCTTCCCTGAGTCTCAGCAGGTTTGCATTCACACTGCTTAAGTAACTCACAGAACCTGGAAGAGCACCGCTAGGAAAGAGATGATTCCAAACAGCTTTCATTAACAGTGTGTATGCACCAGTCCCTTTCCCAAAAGTGGACTGTTAGTAGTAGTTCAACCTTTGTTAAGGGGTAGCTTTCCAGAATGTGAGATTGTCCTCAGAAAGACAGATATAGGCTTAAACATAACGGACATCCTAAATAGGAATTTTCAGATTGTTTTTGAAGTGAAAAGTGTTTTAATGTCTTTAAATGGAATTGCGTAACTAATGGAATTTAAGTATTTTACATGTTGCTAGTAACTTTGAATATGATTGTTGCAATTTTATGGAACCTGGGTCTATGGGACTGCTTTTTCTTTAAGCAGTTTAAAAAAGGTTTTTAAAGTTTAAAAGCCAGTCTTAGCATGTATAATCCTTACGGGATTCTTAAGTTTTATCCTCTTGTTTTTGCTCAAGAATGCTTTATCAGTGACGTTTGTTTTGTTTTTTGTTTTTTTAAATTGTTTTTGGGCTAGAAATGAGTTTCTCTAGTTTTATTTGTTCTCCCTGAGTTGAGTTATGCAATGAATGGCATTTTTGTGGTAAAATGCTGATCCTAAAATCTATTCACTCACTGTTCATTTAAGTAGGGAATATCTGTATACGTTAATGACTGGGTAAAACAGGAAGTACGTTTTGAATATACAGCCTAAAGGCAGGCAGTTACAGGGTTTTTTGGTTTCTCTGATTTTATAGGGTGCAAGTTCCCAGTGGTAGGATGCCCTGCTGTGCGACTACACTGTGTCCTGAGCAGTGTCACCTCTCATCAGTTTGGCCAGCCCTACAACCACCATGCCTAGCCCTGTGTTGCTTGAGAGGATACCTGTGCTGGAATGGACATAAGGAAAAGTCCTTACTTTCCCCCCAATTTACCTCTCTCAATCTTAGTTCTTCCAGAACACACTTCCCTTTCCCAATGCAAATAAACTAAAAGTGAGATTTGATACATAGAATTTTGTGACCAACTAACCTTACACATAATTTGAGGGATTCCTGGATTCTTCCAGTAATACTGAAAAGCACACTTGACTAAAGCATAGTGTTTTTTGTTTGTTTGTTATGGAAACATGGTATACGTTCATTTAAAAATAAATGGACATACAAATTGCATCTCCTTAGGAGATACATTTTATATACATTTCGGTGCATTTTTTCTAGTATGGATTTCTATTTGTTTCTCTCTTCCATTTGTTTTTTTCTGTGTCACTCTTGTATGTCCTCTTATCTTTCATACCTCTTGTGTAGTCTCTAGAAGCAGAACACCCAAGTCCTGGGTCTGGATAATGAAACCCTCTGTCTCTGGGGCCTCTGAAAATAAGGAAGCATTGGAGCTATTGCCATGTTGAGTAATGGGCTTCCTAGAACTATTGTCATCTATCCTGCCAGGGTTTTATGTTGTAGCTGTTTTTCTTTGACAGGTGAGTTCCAGCTATGTTGTTAGTCATGATCCTGCCATTATTTTCTGTGTTCTGTAGGATGTCTCCAGACTACTTAAACATATTTTATGAGTTTGCAATAAAATTGTTGAATCTTGTATGATCAAGTCACTCCTCTGCTCAGAAATCCACAGTGACTTCTTAGTAAGCCCCTATATTATATGCATACTTGTTTTTTTCTTAACTTTACTTCCACTTCTACCTAACAGGGACCTCAACTTAAGTCTCTTCAGTTCTTCCAGGCCTGGCCTTGTTCCTGATTGCTCAAAAAATCTTGACTCTAAGGCCAATTTTATTGTCTGTCTCTGAATCCCTATAAAGCTTCAAGTCTGTATGACATATTCTTACGCCAAATTATATATTGTCTTGTACTGTTCCTAGCTGGTACATGTATATTAGTCTTGTCTCCCTCATGAGAATGTAAGCTCCTTAAGGGCAGGGACCATGTCTTAATTTTTGTATCCACCACAGTGCCTAGCACAGTGCTTGGCACATGGGTGCTGAATAAATACCTTTGTTTATTGATCAGCAAAGTATTATCTGGTATTTTTAATTATACAGGGATTAAAGTGTATGCATGCAAGCTTGAGCCTAGTTGCTGAAGCTTGTGGTTGTCTCTGAAAATGGGATAGAGGGAAACTGAACATGATCAAGGGCCGTGATTTGGTGATCAGAAAAGCAAAGGTGACCACCAGCTGGTATGGTCATGATCAGACCAGCTAAGTCCACAGACCATCCCAAAGAAGTTAAAAATGAAATGTATCTGACACTTCATCTTTTGGAGGAAGAACCAGGATATTCTTTGAATAGTTATTAGGTTGTCAGTATCTACATATGAAAGCTGCTAAACCCCAAGAGACTTCTTTAGGAGAAACAGCAGATTTCAGTCTACCAATGGGAGAAATGTGGGCAACATGGCTTGATGCATATATAGGACTTAATTTTTCAACTCTTTGGTCCTCTTAGCTTTGAGGCTACAAAATAGCTGGATCATTAGGCCAGAGATTATGGATGAGTTACCTGCAGATTGGTTACCTACCTGTGTGCTTTTTTTTTTTTTTTTTTTTTAGTTTAAGCCTGTATTTAACATTGACAGATAAAAATCTTCACTTTTGGCTTTTCTTGAGAAAACTGGAAGATCTGGCAATAATAGGTCTACATGACAGCCCTTGCCTAGAAATGATTAGTGGCTGCATCTAGAGGTGGCATGCGCTTCATCAAGAAATGAGTCCACCCATTTATATTACCTAAATTATTATCATCATTAGGAACATTGGACTCCTACATTAAGTTACTCTGGAAAGCACACTGGGAAAAAGGACTGGGATGTCTTTACTTACTCAAGGTCCATAATTTGAGAGTTAACATTTATTATCCCTTGTAGTTTTGGCTTGCCTTTCTAAATATTTCAGGGTAGGAAGTGAAAATTTATCAGTTTATTCTTAAACACAAATCTGCTGCTGGTTCAACGTGCACATTTTCAGTAATGCCTGGTCACCAAACTGTCAGCAACTAGAGGAAAATTATCTCCGACCTGGAGGAAAGGGGAAGTTTTTGTTTTTAGACGCTCTCTCACGAATCATGGGAAGGGAGATTTTTTAACAGGTTCACATACAGGGCGAGTTTCATGGAAACGCGCTTCAGAAGATGCCCTTCACATGAGCTGAAGCCTACGGTGTACTCTGGAAATCACATTTCCTGTAAGAGCAAACAGCTACTTGGCATTCTGGTAAATTAGCAAATCGTCCAAGAATTTTTAGGAGGGGAAGGAAGAACTAGTTATAATCCTACTTTTTTTGCTGCAGTTCTGAATCTTCATTGAAGTGTCTATGATGGGGTTGCACAGCCATGTAGAGAACGTGAGAGTCTGGCTGGAATGGTTGGGAGAAAGGAAAGATAAAAGACAATTTTAGTTTCATTGAACTCCCTCCGTCCTCTGCTTGTATTACTGGAGGCGACCACATCCTCTGACATAGTCATTTTCTGAGTTAAATTCATGTATATCATAGAATTGGTTTTCCTTTCTGTAACACAAGATGATCACAAATCTATGACTTGGGGACATCTGAATAACTAATCTCAGATGACTCAATTTCTTTATCTGTAAATTAGAAATAATCTAATAACCAGTATCTACCACAAAACTTACACGTTTAGAGGATTAGACAATGCACATTTGTGCTTCTCATTGATTTTACAGAATTAAGTACTTTTCTTGAAGAGTGACTGTGATTTGGACAGAGAAGGAGAAAACGCGTGTTTACTGAAAAGAAGTAACGCTACTAAAACAAAACAATGAGAAAACCCTCGTTAACCAAGACTACAGTCCCACGGAACCGTACACCCTGTGTTTCGCGGTTGTAGCTCCGGGCCTTTTCTTGGTTGTACCTCAGGCCCTGCTTTTCCCACCCCCAGGAAGTGAAAGCCTCCCCAAGCCCCAATGCATGCTGGGAGTTGCAGTCCCTTTTCGAAAGGCTGGGGCGGCCGTGATGTCATCGGTGGTCGCCGGGAGCCGCCAGCACGTGGCGAGGAAGGGGCGGTGCGCGCCTGCTGTCTGCACCTGAGAGGGGGCAGGAGCTGCCGGCGCTTGCGCCTCCTGCTGCGGTGCCCTCCCGACATGCCGGAGGAGGCGGGCTTCCCGCCGGCCAAGAGATTCCGGCCGGGCTCTGGGCCTCCGAGCCGCTCTGGGTCCTTCCCTCCTGGGAGGCAAGTGGTGATGCTGCTGACTGCGGGCAGCGGCGGCAGAGGTGGAGGAGGAGGCCGGAGGCAGCAGCCGCCCCTGGCCCAGCCCTCGGCCAGTCCCTACCCTGAAGCTGTGGAGCTGCAGCGCCGGAGTCTGCCCATCTTCCAGGCGCGGGGACAACTGTTGGCCCAGCTCCGAAACCTGGACAACGCGGTCCTCATCGGTGAGTGGCCGCGCCGGCGGGCTCTTCCTTGCACTTCGTCCGTGGCTTAGCTAAAGCAGTTTTTCTTACATGCCTCTCAATCCCTTTCGTTCTTGGTTTCAACAAACCTGAATACCTTTTCTGGGCCAGACCTGGAGAGGGGCCTTGAAGAAGGGTCCGGCAGCCCTGCCCTGGAGGCGCTGGACAGCCCGGTGAGAGTGACCGACGTGTGTAGGCAAAGACTCACCTTCCGTGTAAAAGGATAGAGACACGTACCGGGGGCTTGCGGGGCTTAGGAGAGTGGATCTGACCCAGTTTGTGAGGAGGTGGCTGGGGAGGTCGTGTGGGAGGGAGGGCGTTCTAGGCAGGAGAGAAAGTCTTTTGAGAGATGGGAACCTGAACACATTCCGGTGGAAAGGGAAGGTGTAGTTTCTGGTGCATGAAAACAGGCAGAGTTGTTGGGCAGGGACTGATTTCAAGGGGCTTTCATCCCCCACGTGTTAGAGGAGATACTGAAGGACGGAAAGGATGAGCAGCCAAAAAGGGGAAGGAGACCCATGAGTGCTGCTAGTCAAAGGAATGCAGAGTGAGCAGATGCAGCAGTCCAGTCCAGTTTCACTGGACTTGGATGTGATGCCCACTGGATTTGGATGTGAGCTATTTGTAAGAGTTAAAGAAAAAGGAAAGAAACACGAAACGCAACTGGCAATTAAAGACGGGTTTTCTTTAGTTAAAACCTGAGAGGCGCTCCTGGCCGAGTTCGGTCAGGAGCCCTTTCTCTTACAGACTTAAGAGTATATATTGGTTTTAGGGTGAGGGCCCTTATCACAAGCTTGGAATGTTTATAGGTGTGGAGAAGTTTTTGGCGGGATTGGACTCTCTTTGGGAGGAGGGGAAGTTGTCTTGGAGCAGACATCTTTCCGGCCCGGAGGGGGGTTATCTCCCGGCTAACATCTTCTCGGCCAGAGCCAGGTTATCTTGGGGTTGACATGTGTCTGGTCGGGGATGAGTTTGGAATGTTTCTGATTGGAGATGTTATTTGTGGTCTACGGTCGTGCTGACCTTAGCCATTACGCTGATGCCCTTTGGATTTAGGCGGTTTTTTAAGGTGAACTTTTGAATGAGGGGCTTGTCCAAGATGGTGATGCTCCTGCTCTGTCAATCCAGACCCTTCAGTTATAAAAAGGAGGAGGGACGGCATGTTCTTTCTGGCTACTTCCTGTTAACCAGGGGACGGAGAGTTTCCTGGCCTCAGGTTGACTGTAGGAGCAATGCCATCTGTAGATGTTTTTGGGGAGTTTGTTTGTGAAATGGCCATGATCCTGTCATTTAAAAATCTTTGAGAAAGGTTAATTAGGCAGGGTAAGAACATTAGTCCCTTGGCCGGGCGCGGTGGCTCACGCCTGTATCCCAGCACTTTGGGAGGCCCAGACGGGTGGATCACAAGGTCAGGAGATCGAGACCATCCCGGCTAACACCATGAAACCCCTTCTCTACTGAAAATACAAAAACTAGCCGGGCGTGGTGGCGGGCGCCTGTAGTCCCAGCTACTCGGGAGGCTGAGGCAGGAGAATGGCTTGAACCCGGGAGGCGGAGCTTGCAGTGAGCAGATCGCACCACTGCACTCCAGCCTGGGCGACAGAGCCAAACTCTGTCTCAAACAAATAAACAAAAAAGAGTATTAGTCCCAGGCATAGTATTAGGAGAGAGCCCAGGAATGGGATGACGCATGCTATGATTTTGTTTTTAAACCAAGAGTCCATTTGGTTGTTTTGGTACTCCCTTAGCTTTTTAGCCTTTTCTTTAAGTTTTTTTTAGCAGCGCTTTTTATTTTTACTAGGCCCGATTGGTTGATATAGAAACAGGCGTGAGCCACCGCGCCCAGCCCCCTCAAAACAATTTTTTAACCTTTTAACATGGGTTAAAATGTACATTCTTATCCCTCCTTATAATCTTTTTGCCAAAAGTGTATTTTACTTTCCTTACACACCTTGCACATAAACTGCGTCTTCAACAGTTTTAAATGCATGTTACATTGTTAACTTTTAGCAACCTTTAGCTTTGTTGAAAACCTTGGTAAGTTTAGGATTTTAATTATGCGCTAGGTGTACAGCCTAGGACTTAGACAGAAGTGCAGATAAGAAGTGCTGGCTTCTTTCAGCATTTAGCTCCTTGCGTCCTAGGTTTTAACCTAGCTGCAAAGCAGGCAAATTGTACAGCTAAGAGTTGTAGTGACATTTTATAAAGCATTCAGGAAGCCTAATCACTTTTAAATTGTGAAACATTTCTTGCATAAATTTCCTTTTACAAAATTTTTCACGACTTTCACAGTCTCTGACACTATTGATCGTGGATCCCTTGGAGAGCTATTTCAACAAAGCTCTGTGGGTAACAGCTGATTTGTCATTGAGCTGAGGGCTGAAAGCAGGGGGAGCAGGCTTCTGTTTTGAGAAAAGGGAGGGAAGCTGAGAGGAACTTTACAGATGCTGCTCAATTTAGGACGGGGTTATGTGTGGACGAACCCACCCATCCTCATAAGTTGAAAATATCCTAAGTTGGAAATGCATGGAATATGCACAGCCGGCCTTCGGTGTGCTTGAACATGTACATTAGCCTATGGTTTGGTGATATCATCTAACACAAAGCCTATTTTATAATAGTCTTGAATATTTCATGTAATTTATTGAATACCATACTGAAAGTGACAAACAGGTGTGTGGGTACTCAAAAGAACAGTTGCTACTGTATGGTTTTGACTTTTGCTCCATCCTGAAGTCGAGCAGTTCTAAGGCAGGGACCGTCTGTATTCAGAGGTTGAGGGGAAGAACTCAATAGGGAGGGAGGCTGAAGATAGAATCGAGCTAACGGAGCAAAGATCAGGAGGTGTGGGGAAGCGGGGAGCTTGGCCACAAGCGCTAGATGCAGGGCTGGTCTGGAAGAGGAGGAAGGCTAAGAGGCTGCAGAGCTAGAGAATGGATGTAAGGACGGTGCACTGCAGCAGGGCTTGTAGGGGCAGGTAGGGAGATGATCACATTTTAGAACCCCACTTCTGTGAGACAGGTTCAGGAGCTCTGCTCAGAATGGGAGTCACTGGGCTTCAAGTGGGCCCTTGGGGAGGATGGAGACAAGACAGGCTGCAAAAACAAGAAATCAGATCCTGGTAGTACTGGTGCCTAGGTGCATTTCGGCTACACTATAAACTCAGGTTTGCTTCTGCACAACCTAATTATAGCTTGAACATCCCAAATCTGAAAATCCAAAATCCAGAGGGGGCTCCAAGGAGCATTTCCTTTGAGCATCATGTCGGGTGCTCAAAAAGTTTTGGATTTGGGAGCATTTAGGACTTCAGATTTTCACAAATAAAATGCTCAGCCAGTAAGTATAATGCGAATATTACAAAACTTGAAAGCATCCAAAGTTCACAACACTTCTGGTGCCAAGCATTTTGTATTTTACTTTAGCAACACTCAGTTGCCCTGGTACAGGAGCAGGAAAGATGGACAGAGACATTAATTCAAGTTTGGGGTTTTGCCTAGTGGATTCAGCAGGAAGATTGCAGAATAATCAAATTCTTAGTCTGATTCTTGTCTGGGTCAGGAAGGATGAGCAGTCAGAGGGGGCTGACAGACTGACAGGAAAAAAACCCCACAAATAATGGGACTGGAGGACTCTGTGAGGTCAGAGAGGCCTGGTGGTAACTGGAGGGAGGGGAAGGATGCGCAGATTTGCTGAGTTTTTTGCTCTAATCAGGCACTATTAAAGGAACTCACACAAGGCAGGAAATAACATTTACTGCGTGCTTATTGTATGCAAAATACTCAAGTACCTGTGAGGGACTTGCAGAGCACTGCCCTCCGGGAGCTTCTGGTGTTGTGGGAGGATGGACACATTTAAACTCTTCTGTACAACGCAGCATGGTCAGTGCTGAAAGACAGATGAACAAGGCTCTCTGGAGCCCAGAGGAGGGCCACCTGTGCAACCAGGAGAGCGTGTCTGAGGCCTGACTCATCTTAGAGTTTGCCAGGCAGGCAGTGTGAGGGCAGGTGTTCTGCCCATAGTGTGGGCAGAGGCAGAGGGGTTGAAGGGAGGCAGCAGGCTGGGGAGTGGCCAGGAGTTGAAGGCAGCAGTGCATGAATGGATGTCTCTTCATGTCCATCAGTATGCAGAAATCTATGTAACAGTTGTTTTATATTTTAACTATGTAAATTATTTTATTTTATATTTTAACTATGTAAATTACCTTTTGAACATTTATATCGTTTCCAGTTTTTTTCTGTCTGGAGCAAAATTGAATAAAATCTCTTCGAAGCTGTATCTTTATACACAAGTTTACTTATTTTCTTAGAATCAATTTCTGCAAGCAGAATTGTGGGGCAAAGGATGTAAACATTTTAAATATTTAAAAAACATAATTTGGCCTCCTGAGAAACAATACCAATTAGCCAACTAACTTCGCCAGCAGTACACGTACCTGAATGCCCGTTCTCCTGAGGCTTTACCAACTCAGAGTATTTTATCTTTTACTTCTGACTTTGAGCTGGCTGTTTGGTGAAATTTAAGTCAGTTTGCTATTTGTTGTTGTTGTTTTTCTAAGACAGGGTCTCATTCTGTTGCCCATGCTGGAGTGTAGTGGTGTGATCATGGCTCACTGCAGCCTGGACCTCCCTGGCTCCGCAATATGCCCACCTCAGCCTTCAGAGTAGCTGGGACCACAGGCGTGCACCACCACGTCCAACTAATTTTGTATTTTTTGTAGAGACAACTCCTGGGCTCAAGTGATCCTCCTCCATTGGCCTCCCGACATGCTAGGATCACAGGAATGAGCCACTGTGCCCAGCCAATTTGCATTTATTTTTCTTTTCTTCTTTTTTTTTTTTTTTTTTGAGACGGAGTCTCGCTCTGTCGCCCAGGCTGGAGTGCAGTGGCCGGATCTCAGCTCACTGCAAGCTCCGCCTCCCGGGTTCACACCATTCTCCTGCCTCAGCCTCCCGAGTAGCTGGGACTACAGGCGCCCGCCACCTCGCCCGGCTAGTTTTTTGTATTTTTTAGTAGAGACGGAGTTTCACCGGGTTAGACAGAATGATCTCGATCTCCTGACCTCGTGATCCGCCCGTCTCGGCCTCCCAAAGTGCTGGGATTACAGGCTTGAGCCACCGCGCCCGGCCTTTTTTTTTTTTTCAGACATTGTCTCACACTATCTCCCAGGCTGGCATGCAGTGGCACAATCATGGCTTACTGTAACCTAGAACTCCTGGGCCTCATGATCCTTCTGTCTCAGCCTCCCTAGTTGCTGGGACTACAGGCACATGCAACCACACCTGGCTAATTGTTGTTGTTGAGACAGGGTCTTGCTGTGTTGCCCAGGCTGATCTTGATCTCCTGGGCTCAAGAGAGCCTCCTACCTCGGCCTCCCAAAGTACTGAGATTATAGGTGCCAGGCCTGGTGCTCAGCCCTAATTTGCATTTCAATGAGCCTTTTTTTTTCTTCCCCCTCTCTCCTAGGGGAAACTGGCTCTGGGAAGACAACTCAGATCCCTCAGTACCTGTATGAAGGAGGGATCAGCCGCCAGGGCATCATTGCTGTGACCCAGCCTCGTCGAGTAGCTGCCATCTCTCTTGCTACTAGAGTCTCAGACGAGAAGAGAACTGAACTCGGGAAGCTGGTACCTGGTTCCTTCTTTACTCTTAATACTTCTTGACTAAACAGTTCTCCCACCATGCCCGCTGCCTGTTATTTTTCTAAACAAGACTCCTTTTACATAATGAGCTGCTTTTCTTGCCTATTCTTCCGAGAGTTCTTTACAAGCTCCTGAGAGATCAGGGGCTCTATTGGTCCCATGTGCTTTGCTTTCAAAATCTGTTGTCAAGTTGGATAAATTAGTTGTTTTCTTTGAACATCTTAAGCCTTCAGTAACCTCTGTTAACTCTCTTATCTATATGTCTTTCTAGAAACATTGTAAGCATTATGCCAGTGTATATGTGTGTATTGAGAATGAGTCTCAGAACTGTATATAAGACAGATTTGTGTGTGTGTACTCATTTCACTTAAAAATATTTTAGACATCTTTTCATATCTGTACATAACTTCACATGAAACTTTTTTATTTATTTATTTATTTTATTTTGAGACTGTCTCGCGCTGTCACCCAGACTGGAGTACAGTGGCACAATCGCGGCTCACTGCAACCTCCGCCTCCTGGGTTCAAGCGATTCTCCTGCCTCAGCCTCCGGAGTAACTGGGATTACAGGCACCCGCCACCACGCCCGGCTAATTTTTGTATTTTTTAGTAGAGACGGGGTTTCACCATATTGGTCAGGCTGGTCTCAAACTCCTGACCTCATGATCCACTTGCCTCGGCCTCCCAAAGTGCTGGGATTACAGGTGTGAGCCACCGCGCCTAGCCCACATGAAATTATCAAATAGCTTGAGCTAGAAGGTTAATTTTAAATATTCCTTGTAATAGTTACATTAATTGCAGTTGAAGCAAACTTGACCATGGTCTCTCCCAGCTAGACTGCATGCCTCCCAAGGGAGTAGGAAGGGTTGGTGTTGGTCTTGTTCAATGTGGTGGTGCAAGCGCCCAACTTAGTGCTGGACGCAGCAGGCGCTCGAGAAATGTTTGATGACCAAATAAGTTGTTTCTCTGCACAGGTCGGCTATACAGTGCGCTTTGATGACGTCACCTCAGAAGACACCAGGATCAAGTTTCTGACAGACGGCATGCTTCTGCGCGAAGCAATTTCAGACTCTCTGCTTCGGAAGTACAGCTGCGTCATTTTGGATGAAGCTCATGAACGGACTATCCACACAGATGTGCTCTTTGGAGTGGTTAAAACCGCACAGAAGAGGAGAAAGGAACTAGGGAAACTTCCTCTGAAAGTATGCATAACACACAGAAGGAAACAGGCCTGGCCGGGCGTGGAGGCTCACTCCTGTAATCCCAGCACTTTGGAAGGCCGAGGCGGGTGGATCACCTGAGGTCAGGAGTTCGAGACTAACCTGGGCCAACATGGTGAAACCCTGTCTCTACTAAAAATACGAGAAATGAGCTGGGCATGGTGGTGTGTGCCTGTAGTTCCAGCTACTTGGGAGGCTGAGGCAGGAGTCACTTGAACCTGGGAGGCGGAAGTTGTAATGAGCTGAGATCGCACCACTGCACTCCAGCCTGGGCGACAACAGTGAAACTCCGTCTCGATTTTTTTTTTTTTTTTTGAGACGGAGTCTCGCTCTGTTGCCCAGGCTGGAGTGCAGTGGTGCGATCTCGGCTCACTGCAAGCTGCACCTCCCGCGTTCACGCCTTTCACAGGCACCCGCCACCACGCCCAGCTAATTTTTTGTATTTTTAGTAGAGACGGGGTTTCACCAGGTTAGCCAGGATGATCTCGATCTCCTGACCTCGTGATCCACCCGTCTCGGCCTCCCAAAGTGCTGGGATTACAGGCGTGAGCCACTGTGCCCGGCGAAACTCCATCTCAAAAAAAAAAAAAAAGGAAAGGAAACTGGCCTGGCCTGTGTTCTTTAGCAGGGTGTTCTCCTCTGCCTGTTCTGCTCAGAGCCTTGGAAGAACGTTAGCTATAATGGAGGTGGCACAGGCCTCAATCATCTGCTTTTGGGGCTTGAGAGGGACATGGAAAGGCCGTCCCAATGTTTGCTTCTGGTCCTCTTCGTTCTTTCATGCAGGTGATTGTGATGTCAGCTACGATGGATGTGGACCTGTTCTCTCAGTATTTCAATGGCGCCCCCGTCCTCTACCTAGAGGGTCGGCAGCATCCGATCCAAGTGTTTTACACCAAACAGCCTCAGAATGATTACCTGCACGCCGCGCTTGTCTCAGTCTTCCAGATCCACCAGGTATGGTGTGGGGGGCAAATTCCCAAAAAGTTGTCTTTTATCTTGCAGTTGGTAGTGAGAATATTGAGCCTTAAAAAGCAAAGCTACTGAATAAAAAAACAGCTTTGTGAGTTGTGTCATCAACATGAATAAGGAAGCCAGGCGCAGTGGCTCACGCCTGTAATCCCAGCACTTTGGGAGGCCAAGGCGGGCGGATCACCTGAGGTCAGGAGTTCAAGACCAGCCTGGCCAACATGGTGAAACCCCATCTCTACAGAAATACAGAAATTATCCGGGCCTGATGGCAGGTGCCTGTAGTCTCAGCTACTCAGGAGGCTGAGGCAGGAGAATCGCCTGAACCCAGGAGGCGGAGGTTGCAGTGAACCGAGATCGCAACACTGCACTCCAGCCTGGGTGACAGAGGGAGACTCTGTCTGGAAAAAAAAAAAAAAAGATGAATAAGGAGTTGATTTGCTGTGTCTGGATTTTTATCCTTTATTTATGGTGTCTCTCCTTTTCTCTGAAAAGAAAAATAATTCAACTCTGACCAGCAGCTTTCTTACACTGAGCCAGAAAATTGCCATGTTAGAGCAGTAGCTTACCAACTTTTCTTGATTATAACCCCTATTAAGAAGTACTTTTGGCTGGGCGCAGTGGCTCACACCTGTAATCCCAGCACTTTGGGAGGCTGAGGTGAGCGGATCACGAGGTCAGGAGATCGAGACCATCCTGGCTAACACGGTGAAACCCCATCTCTACTAAAAAATACAAAAAATTAGCCAGGCGTGGTGGCGGACGCCTTTAGTCCCAGCTACTCCGGAGGCTGAGGCAGGAGAATGGTGTGAACCCGGGAGGCGGAGCTTGCAGTGAGCCGAGATCATGCCACTGCACTCCAGCCTGGGCGACAGAGCGAGACTCCGTCTCAAAAAAAACAAAAGAAGCACTTTTTATTTTGCAACCCAGTATGCTATACATATAACTGAAATAAGTCTATGAAACACCGCTTCTGGCCAGGCATGGTGACTCACACCTGTAATCCCAATGCTTTGGGAGGCCAAAGCAGGAGGATCACTTGAGTCCAGGAGTTCAAGACCAGTCTGACAACATAGCAAAACCCTGTCTCTATAAAAAATTATAAAAATTATTTTTTAAAAAAGAAACTACGTCTTTTACTACATGTTGGGTACTCTGATATTTTGTACCTCATTTAAAGAAAAAGTTGGCGAGGCACAGTGGCTAACACCTGGAATCCTAGCACGTTGGGAAGCAGAGGTGGGTAGGATTGCTTGAGCTCAGGAGTTTGAGACCAGCCTGGGCAACATAGCAAGACCTCATCTCTACTAAAAATAAAAAAAATCAGCCAGGTGTGGGGGTGCATGCCTGTAGTCCCAGCTACTTGGGATGCTGAGGTAGGAGGATCACTTAAGCCTGGAAGATTAAGGCTGTAGTGAACTATGATCACTGCACTCCAGCCTGGGAGACAGAGCAAGATCCTATCTCAAAAAAAGAAGAAATTGACATTGGCCCAATAATGGGTTGCAACTTAAGAGTTTTTTTTTTTTTTTTAACTATATTAGGAGAATATTAAAAAATATTTTCTCATTTTATTAAACATTTACTTCAAAAATTTGAATCATTAAATCACTTTTGTTTAATTTGTATAAGATTTAATATTTTTACCTTCCTATTGGCTTTCTGAGAAAATCCAGAGGCAAGCTTTTAAAATTAAGTTTTATTTAATTTACTTATTTAGAGACAGGGTCTCATTCTGTCACCCAGGCTGGAGAACAGTGGCATAATCATAGCTCACTGCAGCCTCGATCTCCTGGGCTCAAGCAATCCTCCTGCCTTTGCCTCCTGAGTAGCTGGAACTATAGGCACACACCACTACACCTGGCTAATTTTTTTTATGTTTTGTGGACACAGGGTCTTGCTATGTTTCCCAGGCTGGTCTCAAACTCCTGGCCTCAAATGATTTTCCCGACTCAGCCTCCCAAAGCACTGGGATTGCAGATGTGAGAAACCGTGCCCAGTCAATTTTTATTTTAAAAGAAGTGATGCATGTGGGGGTTTAAAGTTTTAAAAAGTCAAGTAGTCTATAGTAAAAGGCTCATAATAAAAGAATAACAGTTGTTTTTACTTCAACATCCCAGATTTCTGCTGTTTAGGGCACCTCCTTTCAGTCTCTACATATTGCTTTCGTATTTCTAAACTACCTTGCTTTTGCCACTGTTTCTTGAGTTATGGGTATCAGGCATCATATGCTAATTTCTTACCATGGTGACAAGAGTTTAGAATTGCCCCTCCCCAGCCCCCTTTATCTCCAGCCTCTTGACAGTTCTATCATGATGTTTTTGTTTAGGTTTTTGTTTTTGAGGCAGGATCTTGCTGTGTTGCCCAGGCTGGTCGTGAACTCCTGGGCTCAAGCAATCCTCCTGCCTCAGCATTGGGGAGTAACTACATGCTTGCACCCTTGTGTCTGGCCTATTATGATGTTTTCTGAGTCCAGTATTAATACTAACAATATCATGACCACACATTGCTAGTAGCACACCATCATCCCTATACCTTGTTTCTTGAACAACACAGTTGTGTAACTTTTGTAGGTAGCTCTGGCTCATTTTTTTCCAAATGTTCCAACATCTCTCATATGCCAATCGTGAATGGTTCTGTGTTCAAGCACAGTCTGTCTTTTCAGAGTCCCTTACGCGGCTGTTCCAGTTAGGGCAGGTGGCTCTCCTGGGCCTTTGTGTAGTTGTTATCATGACTCTTCCCTTTGTCACCATTTTCCCGTGGTGAAGCCCAGCGCTTCCCAGTCTCCTGGCCGCCCTGGGTAGGAGAGGGAACTGGAGGGTTTAACCACGCTATACTCAGACTTCGAGCCAATCCCTGGGTTTTCAGTCTCCCACAACACGATGTGTAGTTCCCTCCCTCCAGCCAAGTCATCCAGCCCCTTTCCCCTCTCTCTTCCAAAGTGATTTGAGCCTCCTCATCTCTCATTGTCTTTTTTTTCTGAGACAGTGGCCCTTACTGTCGTTTTCATAGTATTTGGGGAAGAAGTCTGCCTTGTTTAACTGCGGAAAGCAAACGAGATGAGAATTTTTCATAAATGGCAGCTGCTGGTGCATTAGGTTACCCCTGGCTTTGATGAAATCTCCCACTGATGAGGTTTTGACTGATTTAGATTTTGTCCTGTCTGTGTGTACCTCTGAACAATTGTTCTGTTAATACTGGGCTGAAAAAAAGATACACATTTTAAAAATTTGTATTTTTACATATATACCTAAACATACATATAATTATTAACATTTTTTTCTATTTATTTTGCCATTAGGCTTTTTTTTTTTTTTTTTTTTTTTTTTTTTTTTGAGATGGAGTCTCACTCTGTCGCCCAGACTGGAGTGCAGTGACATGAACTCGGCTCACTGCAACCTCTGCCTCCCAGGTTGAAGCCATTCTTGTGCCTTAGCCCCCCAAGTATCTGGAACCACACCCGGCTAACTTTTGTATTTTTAGTAGAGATGGGATTTCACTGTGTTGGACAGGCTGGTCTCAAACTGTTGACCTCAACCCATTTGCCCGCCTCAGCCTCCCAAAGTGCTGAGGTTACAGGCATGAGCCACCTCGCCCAGCCCATCAAGCACTTTATTTTATTTTATTTTATTTTTGAGATGGAGTCTCACTGTGTCACCCAGGCTGGAGTGCAGTGGTGCGATATCGGCTCACTGCAACCTCCGCCTCCCACGTTCAAGTGATTCTCCTGCCTCAGCCTCCCGAGTAGCTGGGATTACAGGCGTGTGCCACCATGCCTGCCTAATTTTTTGTATTTTTAGTAGAGATGGGTTTCACTGTGTTAGCCAGCATGGTCTTGATCTCCTGACCTTGTAATCCACCCGCCTCGACCTCCTGAAGTGCTGGGATTACAGACGTGAGCCACTGCGCCTGGCCCTATTTAATTTAATTTAATTTAATTTTATTTTATTTTATTTATTTTGAGAGAAAGTCTTGCTCTGTTGGCCAAGCTGGAGTGCAGTGGCGCAATCTGGGCTCACTGCAATCTCCACCTCCCAGGTTCAAGCATTCTCTTGCCTCAGCCTCCTGAGGAGCTGGGATTACAGGCACCCACCACCACCCCCAGCTAATTTTTGTATTTTTAGTAGAGACAGGGTTTCACCATGTTGGTCAAGCTGGTCTCGAACTCCTGACCTCAGGTGATCTGCCCGCCTTGTCCTCCCAAAGTGTCAAGCACTTTACATCAAACAAATTAATATGTCTGATCAGAAATCAAAGAAAAATCAGGGCATTAGGTATGTCATTCACACTTGGGTGTTGTTCCCTTTGAAAGTGAGGAACCCCATTAACCTCAACAGCTCAAGCAGTTGTCCAGGTATACAGTGTATGTTTGGGGGCGTGTGAAAGCGCTTTCGACGGCATCATTATTAAAGGCTCCTTTTCCAGCGTGGCTGCATCTGTTCATTTCCACGGATTAGGATTTCCCCAAGTTGCCTTCTGTTTTGTCAACCTCGTCTTTCAAGATGCTTACAAAAGGAAGGAAGCCTCATGCAGATTTTATTTGCTTGCTTGATTATGCTTTTCATGGTATTGTTCTTGTTAGAAAAAACAATCTGATGATTTTCCTTCAGAATTTCATCACTTGGCCTATAAACATAGCTGGCTAACTCCTATATATTCCAGTTTTGTTTTTTATGTTTTTGAGTCAGGGTCTCGTTCTGTCGCCCAGGCTGGAGTGCAGTGACAAGCAACTGGAACTATAGGCATGTGCCACCACCCCTGACTAATTTTTTAAAAAGTGTTTTGTAGAGATGGGATCTTGCTGTGTTGCCCAGACTGGTCACAAACTCCTGGCCGCAAACTATCCTCCCGCCTCGGCCTCCCAAAGTGCTAGGTTTACAGGCGTGAGCCATCACACCCAGCCTATTACCATTTTATGCACTGCTGGTCGGGGTTCTCTCCAAGCTAGACATCAACTTTTAGGCTCATTTACATTTCCATAGTTAAGAAAAATAACTCTGGGAAACATCATCAATCACCATTGTCTTTTTCTGTGCAAGCTGCAATTCTATCAATGCCTAGTAAACCCCCTCTACCTTTTTTACAGGAAGCCCCTCCTTCACAGGACATCCTGGTGTTCCTCACCGGGCAGGAGGAGATCGAAGCCATGAGCAAGACCTGCCGAGACATTGCAAAGCACCTCCCAGACGGCTGCCCTGCGTTGCTGGTCCTTCCGCTGTACGCCTCCCTGCCCTATGCGCAGCAGCTGCGAGTCTTCCAAGGGGCCCCAAAGGTGAGTGCACCACCTCTTCTCTCCAGCCCTATCGTGGGCACCCAGACGGATCCACCAGTGAGGTCTGTGTACCTATTACCAGGTTCCAGATAAGGTGTATGGGATGGGCTACCCAGGTACCAGATGAGCGCATCGAGGAGGCGCAGGAGCACGATGCACGGTGACATATATGGCGCTCCTGTGATGGGAGCAGGGAGGCAGTTGTTGGGATGAGGGAGAGTATAATCCAAAGCTGCAAGGTGACTTCTAAGGACCCGCATAAATTGCATGTGTCCATTGTGGCATTTATTGTGTGCCTTTGCCGTGCCAGGCACTGTGCTAGCTTTGATATCCACTGTCTCTCATCCTCATGGGAACCGGCAAGGCCGGTGATGATCCCATGGGGATCGCGAGGCCCCAAGAGGGGAAGTCACACTTGCTTAAGGAGCGCATAGTAAGTCACTGGCGGGGCCACGATTCCAACCCACATCTACTTGCTTCTGATTCCTGTGCTTGTTCCGCTACATCTCATTGCCTCAAATTGACCTTTAAGACTGCAGCGTCCCTTCCCCTGCCTAGTTGAATGACCAACCATTCATATTAATGACTGCCATTAATAATGGAGTCATCTTTTCGTGGTCCTGAGTGACTTGTGGAAATCAATGGTGAGAATATGTTTGAAGGCTTCTGAATCATCCGTGTGTCAATGCGGCTTTTTGGTTTTCTTCCTCCTTTTAGGGCTATCGCAAAGTGATCATTTCAACCAACATCGCTGAAACCTCCATAACCATTACAGGAATAAAATATGTAGTTGACACGGGCATGGTTAAAGCAAAGAAGTATAACCCTGGTGAGAATTTGTAGTTCATGAATGTCTCTCGTGTGTCTAGTGAGCAGCCACTGAAACTGTAGTCCGCAGTTTTCCCCTGAGTGTTTCATGTTTGTAACTAGCAAATTCGGGTGGCAGGCGCCATGAGTGAGATCATCTACACTCCAGGTCCACAAAGGAGTCCTGAGGCGGGTATGTGAGACAGGAAGTAGAGGCAGGAAGGAAGAGCCCAGGTCGAGCAAACTTGGGCACACAGGGTCTGGGACCTGAACAGAGGGTCCAGTACCCCATCAGAAGTCAGCTTTAAGGCCAGGAACAGCTGGGTGTCAATCAAAGGCTGTCATCAGAAACTATATATAAATATATATATATGGCTGGTATGAGCTCCCAGGTTTCCTAGGAAGGAACCAGATCCCCTGGCTGGGCTGAGGCATAGAAGGAGCACTGGCTTCTCCTAAGAAGGTGCAGTGGGAAGCTAACTTCAGGTCATCTTGACTCATGTCTGTTTGATACTTCGCTTTATTCCACAGAGGAGTGGAGGCCACTGAAATTATTGTTCCCAATTATTGAGCTGAAATGCTCCAGCAAACATTTGAGGGTCGTGACTTCCACAGGTGTATCTTTTTGAGATGATGTTAGGTGAAAGAGCTTGGGTCTCCAGTGCCTGGCTAAGAATACACCTTTATCAAGGAAATGAACCTCATTTACTGCTAGAAAACAGACATCACATTATTTCTGTCTTACAACAGAACTGGAAGGGAGGATAAAGCTCCCAAGTGATTTGAGGCATTGAATTCCGGAGTTGTTGATTGATAGTATGACCACCATCCTCGTTTGCTGAAACTGTCCCAGTTTTAGCACCCAGAATCCCACATCCCAGGAAACCCTCTGTCCCAAGCAAACGGGAGGGGTTGGCCGTCCTACCACCTAAGGCAAGACCTCGGAAACTCTTCTGGCCCCTTGCTGCATGCGTGAGTTTTCTCTGACGTTTTCGTGACAGATTTCACGCTGGGCTTATTGCAAAGCCTCGTTTCACTAGGGCCAAACCGCTGCGGAGCATCCTGGTTTTGCGCTGTCCATTGTGCTAGCCTTGAGGTTTTCTGGACCCCTGTGTTGCTGAAAGAACCGCTGGTGTGCTTCCTTTTATCAACACTGTAGAAAGAGTTTGTTCATGTGATGAAGCACTAATGGGGCTCACTCTCCGTCCAGACAGTGGTCTTGAGGTGTTAGCAGTGCAGCGGGTATCGAAGACGCAGGCTTGGCAGCGCACAGGGAGGGCTGGCAGAGAGGACAGTGGCATCTGTTACCGGCTCTACACGGAGGAGGAGTTTGAGAAGTTTGATAAGATGACCGTGCCAGAGATCCAGAGGTAGGCACCTGCACTGCTGCCGTTCGTCCCCACGTCTCTCCTGCTTGCCCAGAGCTGCGGTTTTTACTCACGCTCCTCCGTGAGTGGTTCTGACTCACTGGCAGAGGGATCAGGTGATGACCCTGGCCTCACGCTCTTCGCAGGTGTAACCTGGCCAGTGTGATGCTGCAGCTTCTGGCAATGAAAGTCCCAAATGTGCTCACCTTTGACTTCATGTCCAAGCCATCTCCGGGTAAGTGAAATCCACAGTTTTGTAGAAGGTGGGTGAGGAGACAAACAACAACAAATGGACACTTCCAAAAAAATAAAGTATTTTGGTCATCTCCTTTATTTAATTGTGTGGATAACAACATTAGTTATTAGAGAAGCATCTCAAAATCATGAAATGACAGATAAATTGATTGACTTTTAAAGAGACAGGGTCTCACTGTGTGGCCCAGGTGGAAGGGCAGTGGCTACCCACAGGCTCCATCACAGCCTCCAACTCCTGGGCTCCAGCGATCCTCCCGCTTCAGCCTTCCAAGTAGCTGGGACCACAGGCATGTGCCAGTGCTCCTAGCTGTGAAATGATAGATTCTGTACTGTCAGCACCATCAATAAGTTTCCTTGACCTCTGGAACCAGTGAAGGTCATGTGAGTCCTTGGGTTACTACAGAACTGTAATGAAATTATGCTTTTTTCAGCACAGGGACTGCAAAGATCACATTTCTGTGCCTTTAACTGGAATTTGATCAGTCTCCTGTTCATTGGTAATTTCTCTACAGTGGAAGAACATAATTGGAAATCTTTATGATAGTAGCTTTGGCACCTGGCCTCTCATCAATGCACCATTTTCCTTTTCTTCCTCCCGTTCCTTTTCTTAAGTAATGCAATTGGTTTAAAAAAGAAAGAAAGAAAACACAAAGTCAGCAATTGATTGGGTGTACAAGGGTCCTGCCCTAATCCTCAGGTTCATAGTTTTCTTCCCCTAGAACAACCACTGGAAGTATTTTCTAGTAGACTTCTAGAGCAAATGTATGCATATGTGAGTATATGTAGTATGTTTAATTTTATTTATGTATTTATTTATTTATTTTTGAGACAGGGTCTCGCTCAGGTTGTCCAGGATGGAGTGCAGCGGCACATTCTCAGCTCAGTGCAGCCTCAACCTCCCGGGCTCAGGTGATTCTCCCACATCAGCTTCCCAAGTAGCTGGGAGTACAGGTGTGAGCCACCAAGCCCCCGCTGTAGTATGTTTTTGTTTTTGTTTTTGTTTTGAGACAGGATCTCACTCTGTTGCCCAGGCTGGAGTGCAGTGGTGCGATCCCAGCTCACTGCAACCTCTGCCTGCCAGGTTCAAGTGATTCTTCTACCTCAGCCTCCCAAGTTGCTGGGACTACAGGTGTGTACCACCACACCCAGCTAACTTTTGTATTTTTTAGTATAGATGGAGTTTCACTATGTTGGCTGGGCTGGTCTCGAACTCCTGACCTTGTGATCCACCCGCCTCAGTCTCCCAAAGTGCTGGGATTACAGGCGTGAGCTACCGCGCCCAGCCTGTAGTATGTTTTAAACCATAAACAGCAACAAACATTGAACATTGTTCTGTGCTTGATTTTTTCCCTTCATTGCTAAATCCTTACGAACAAATGATGATACATAAGGTATAAGGAATGATTAAAATCCAACACCTGTGTACCCAGTTGAAGCCCCCAGGGCACCCCCGCCACCCGCTTGCCCTCGCCTCCTTCCACTCCTTTGGGGTAACCACTCCCACATTTTGTTTGTAATTGCCTTGCTTTTCTTTATTGTTTTACTATATGCGTCTGTATCCCTAAACCACCTGTTTGTTCTTTGTTTGTAAGTTTATGTTATTGAGTAAGCTGTTTTCATTCAGCTTGTTCTGTATAGTTTATTTGTGTTGATGCTTTTTCACATTAAGTGCTATTCTGTGAATAAACCAAAATGCATTTATCCATCCTTCAATTGGTAAATATTGCTTTAAAAAAAAGCAATGAGAAGGCCAGGCGCGGTGGCTCACGCCTATAATCTCAGCACTTTGGGAGGCCGAGGCGGGCGGATCACAAGGTCAGGAGATCGAGACCATCCTGGCTAACATGGTGAAACCCCATCTCTACTAAAAATACACAAAATTAGCCGGGCGAGGTGGCGGCGCCTGTAGTCCCAGCTACTCGGGAGGCTGAGGCTGGAGAATGGCGTGAACCCGGGAGGCGGAGCTTGCAGTGAGCAGAGATCGCGCCACTGCACTCCAGCCTGGGCGACAGAGCAAGACTCCACCTCAAAAAAAAAAAAAAAGCAATGAGAAACACACTGCTTTCTTTCATTTAATACATTTTACAGATCACTCCTTATTGGGATGTATATATTTATTGCATCCTTAGAAATGCTTTTTTATTCTTTAATAGGTAATGTATTTACACGGTTCAAAGTTTAAAAAATATAAAAGAGTAAATAGTGATAATGTCCGTCTCACCCCTCCTTGTCCCCCAGCCTCCCCAGCTGGCCCCTGAGACAACTGCTATTTCCACTGTTATGTGTTTGCTTCTGGCGATATGGTCTCTGTGCGACGTATATCTGCAGGTGAAATTTGTAAGTGTAGCATTGCTGGGTCAAAGGTTACACTTTTGATGTGTGTATTCAAAATCTACATACATATTGCTAAATAACAGGTCATTTAAAAAGGGAATTGAGGCCAGGCGCAGTGGCTCACACTTACAATCCTAGCACTTTGGGAGGCCAAGGCAGGCGGATCACCTGAGGTCAAGAGTTTGAGACCAGCCTGGCCAACATGGTGAAACCCCGTCTCTACTAAAAATACAAAAATTAGCCAGCCGTGGTGGCATATGCCTGTGGTCCCAGCTACAGGGAAGGCTGGAACAGGAGAATCACTGGAACCCAGGAGGTGGAGGCTGCAATGAGCCGAGATCACACATTTGCACTTCAGCATGGGCGACAGAGCAAGACTCTGTCTCAAAAAAGAAAAGGGAGGCCAGGCACAGTGGCTCATGCCTGTAATTCCAACACTTTGGGAGGCCGAGGTGGGTGGATCACAAGGTCAGGAGATCAAGACCATCCTGGCTAACATGGTAAAACGCCATCTCTACTAAAAATACAAAAAGTTAGCCAGGTGTGGTGGTGGGCACCTGTAGTCCCAGCTACTCGGGAGGCTGAGGCAGGAGAATGGCGTGAACCCAGGAGGCGGAGCTTGCAGTGAGCCAAGATTGCACCATTGCCCTCCAGCCTGGGCGACAGAGCGAGACTCCATCTCAACAAAAAGAGGGAATTGGACTGAAGACAGTGATGTCATTCTTTGACAGGTGTGTCAAGGGGGCAGTGGTGGTTATGATGTTTTGCTGTTGTTTGATGTAGAGTTATCAAAAGCTCCCAGAAATACTGAACTGGCTGCAACTTCATTCTTTTTGGACTTTTGGCTCCTTTTTATGTCTCTGTTTCTTTAGATCACATTCAGGCGGCCATTGCCCAGCTGGACCTGTTAGGTGCTCTCGAACATAAGGATGACCAGCTTTCCCTGACTCCAATTGGAAGAAAGATGGCGGCATTTCCTTTAGAACCCAAATTTGCCAAAGTAAATGATACCCTCTTTTACTATTTACAAAGTAAATAGTCCCCTTTCTGTACATTACAGTTAGCCATCCCAAAGTAGAACCATTAACCCAGTGCTTCTCGATTAATCTCACTTTTTCTCTTAAATAATTACCAACCCCTAGTTTTTAAATAGCCCTGGTTGATGTTCAGTGTGGGATTCAAAGATATGAAGTCAAGAGCCCTACCCACAAGAAATTCGGAACTCTGTAGGGAAGGCAGTCACCTGTTTTATTTAATATGAAAGAGTGAAATAACACTCATGTACATAGCCATGGTTTTAGAAATACCTGTCCTTTAACTCCTTAGAAAGGAAGCTGCAAAAGCAATGTACAGAAATAGTGCATTCTAAAGCTAGGAGAAGGCTGGGTTTACACAATTTTAAATTTCGGTTTGCAGACCATCCTCATGTCCCCCAAATTCCACTGTACAGAGGAGATCCTGACCATTGTCTCCCTGCTGTCTGTGGACAGCGTCCTCCACAACCCTCCTTCCCGGCGAGAGGAAGTGCAAGGGGTCCGCAAGAAGTTCGTATCCAGCGAGGGGGATCACATGACCCTGCTCAATATCTATCGGACCTTCAAAAACCTGGGTGGAAATAAGGTGAGCCTTGTCTTGCTCCTGTTCTCCAGTGACAGCCGCTCGTCTCTGCTGCGTGCTTCCCTTTTTCTACTGAAGCCGCACAAAAAGTACACTTTCCCTTTGTGGCTGAATGATCTAAAGAATCACAAAAAGAAAGCCAGACATCATTTCGGAAATGCCTCAGTACTGGGAGGTCACCAAAGAAATGTCACTCCGGTCTCTGCTCTGAACGTGTTTAACTCAGCAAGACTTAAGCGACTCCCAACCCATCAAAACGTAGTTGGAACTTAATAAAGTAATATGTCTAATGATGGTAGTGCATACCAATTAATGAGTACTTACTCCGTGCCATGCCCCATGCTAAGCACTTGTTAATATATGATCTCATTCAGTACAGTACTTCTAAGAAATGAGCACTGTTATTATTATCTTTTATATTCATGAAACATAGTCATGGAAATGAAGCTTTGTGCAGTTGAAAAACTTGCCCAGGGCCAGGCACAGTGTCTCCAGCTTGTAATCCCAGCACTTCGGGAGGCCGGGGCGGGTGGATCACTTGAGCCCAGGACTTCCAGAGCAGCCTGGCCAATGTGGCAAAAGCCCGTCTCTACTAAAAATACAAGAATTAGCTGGGCGTGGTTGTGCACACCTGTAATCCCAGCTACTCGGGAGGTTGAGGCAGGAGAATCATTTGAACCTGGGAGGCAGAGGTTGCGGTGAGCTGAGATCGTGCCACTACACTCTCAGCCTAGGTGACAGAGCGAGACTTTATCTCCAAAAAGAGAAAAAAGAAAGAAGAAGCCTTACATAAATTGGGCATTTCTGTTTTGTTTTCTGTGTCTGTTCATCTCCTTTGTCCATTTTTCTACCGGGTCATTGGTCTTTTTCTTAATGACTTGTAGAACTTTTAAAATCTATTCTGGAGATTCTGATATTTTATTGGGTATGATAAGACAACTATCCCAAGTTGGGAAACTTTAAGTTTTTCTTTAGTTTAAATTATTAATAGTTTTCCTTATAGTTCATGTTTCTTCATATAAAGATATTTTCCTACGTTCCTTTTTGGCACCTAAAGTTTTTCCTCTGAATTCAACTGTGTTCTAAAAATGTTGTTATATTTTTTCTGTAGAAATGAGAGGCTTGTTAGCTGGGCATGGTGGCACATGCAGGTAGTTGAAGCTATCTGGGAGGCCGAGGTGGGAGGATCGGTTTGTGGTGAGCTATGATGTATCACTGCACTCCAGCCCAGGGAACAGAGCAAGGCCCCGTCTCTGTGAACAAATAAATAGTGAATGAGTGGATTGTGATATCATTCTGTCTCCTATTCAGGATTGGTGCAAAGAGAATTTTGTCAATAGCAAGAATATGATGCTGGTCGCCGAAGTCAGAGCACAGCTGAGGGACATCTGCTTGAAGGTATTGTCCCGGTCCTAGTGTTCTTTGGGTGACAACGCTGTTACTTCGTTCATTTTGAAATTGCTTATTGCTAGTGATTATAAAAGGATTTCTCATTGTAGAAAATTTCACAAATAAGAAAAAAGGAAGTTACCCACAATTCTGCATCTCAGTAGTTTAGCCTATTTCCTACAGCCTATTTTTTATTGTATTTTTTCACATAGCAAATTCTATGTATAATTTATATTTGGTTTTATAATCTTTATAAGCATTTTCCAGTGTTAGAATTCTTCATAAGATTTTAAGTGGGAATATCTCCATTATTTCCTTTTAGATTACCCAAGTCGTATATAGTTGTTAAATATTTACACAATGCAGAAAATAGTGATTTATAATGTAGAAAGTTTAAAAAGTCTCCCATAATCCTGCCCCTCCAGAGATAACTACTGTTAACAGTTTGGGGTAGATCCTTCTAGAATTTGTTTCTGTGTATGTATGTTTTTGTGCATTTTGTGCATGTCTGTACGAGCACACACATACACGGATACGTGTATATGAGGTACTGTTCCACAACTTCCTTTCTTCCACATGGCTTCACTCCTTTTCCTTTTCCTTTTCCTTTTCCTTTTCCTTTTTTACTATTTGAGACAGAGTCTTGCTCTGTCACCCAGGCTGGAGTGCAGTAGTGCCATCTCGGCTCACTGCAACCTCTGTTCACGGGAACTTCTGCCTCCCAAGTTCAAGCGATTCTCCTGCCTCAGCCTCCCGAGTAGCTGGGATTACAGGCTCCTACTACCACGCCAGGCTAATTTTTGTATTTTTAATAGAGACAGGGTTTCACCATGTTCGCCAGGCTGGTCTCGAACTCCTGACCTCAGGTGATCCGCTCGTCTCGACCTTTCAAAGTGCTGGGATTCCAGGTGTGAGCCACCGCGCCTGGCCTCACATGTGTATTTCTTGAATCCTTCTGGGCTTTTGGTGCTGCATGTGTCTAGCTCATTCATTTCAGTGATTTCATAGCATTTCATTGTATTCACTGCAGTTTATTTAAGCCTCTAGTAACGGTCATTTAGGTTCTGTCTCCTGCATATGTGCCGTGGTGTGCACAGAATGAATTTCTAGATGGGGAATTTGGATTTCGTTAGATATTGCCAAAGTGTCCACCACAAACTGTTTTTTCTTTTCTTTTCTTTTTTTTTTTTTTTTTTTTTTTTAGACGGAGTTTCGTTCTTCTTGCCCAGGCTGGAGTGCAGTGGCACGATCTTGGCTCACCACAACCTCCGCCTCCTGGGTTCAAGCAATTCTCCTGCCTCAGCCTCCCAAGGAGCTGGGAGTATAGGTGTGACCCACCACGCCCAGCAAATGTTTTGTATTTTTAGTAGAGACGAGGTAAAGTGCTGGGATTATAGGCGTGAGCCACCACGCCTGGCCAATTTTTTGTATTTTTAGTAGAGTTAAGGTTTCACCGTGTTAGCCAGGATGGTCTTGACCTCCCAAAGTGCTGGGATTACAGGCGTGAGCCACCACTCCCAGCCTAATTTTTTGTATTTTTAGTAGAGACGGGGTTTCACTGTGTTGGCCAGGCCGGTCTTGAGCTCCTGACCTCAGGCGATCCACCCGCCTCGGCCTCCCAAAGTGCTGGGATTCCGGGCGTGAGCCACCGTGCCTGACCCACGAAGTTTTATATTAGCTTTTTATTCCCTCTTAGAGTACATGGTGTTTGAAAGGCCTGCCGTGGTATATTTAATGCTTGCATGACACTCCACATTTTATGTCACAGGTAGAGGGTCTCGTGAGTGTTCTTTTGCTGTTGATCACTGAGACAGTGTCCGTGTTTTTGCTGTCGTCACAGGCACTCTGTGGTGAATGCCTTGTGCCCCCTCAGTGCGGACACTCCTGGGAGACAGTCACAGCCCGTACCCAGGCCTGTGTCTGATGCCAACGGCCTGTAGTTAGCACTAGAGCTGTTTCTTCTCTTAGTAGCCTGTTGTATTCGGTCTTTCACACATTTTTTTTTTTTTTTTTGAGACGGAGTCTCGCTCTGTCGCCCAGGCTGGATGCAGTGGTGCGATCTCCGCTCACTGCAAGCTCCGCCTCCCGGGATCATGCCATTCTCCTGCCTCACCCTCCTGAGTAGCTGGGACTACAGATGCCCGCCACCACGCCTGGCTAATTTTTTTTGTATTTTTAGTAGAGATGGGGTTTCACCGTGGTCTCAATCTCCTGACCTTGTGATCCGCCCGCCTCGGCCTCCCAAAGTGCTGGGATTACAGGTGTGAGCCCCCGCACCCAGCCCAACATTTTTTCAAACTGCTTTTGTATTTGAACAGTTTCCTGCCAGTCTGTCTCTTGGCTTCGTAAGTTTTCTCAATTATTGACAGTAGAAATGGCACTTCTCTATTAGTTCTGGATTTAGGACTCTGTAGTGGCCAGGGATACCTCTCATTATATGCCAGGCACTGGCCAAGGTCCTGAGACTTTACAGACATGCCTGCTCAGTAACTAAGTAATAATCTAGACGGTGACCTGACGTACGTACACTCACGCCAGGAGGCCATCAGATTAAAGTAACCACTATCATTTATGAGGTGTTTGTTCAGCCCTGTTCTGAATACTTTTTATGTGATTGCTTTATTTAAACTCGTTTCTTTTTTTTTTCTTTTTTTTTCTTTTTTAACTCAGACCTTAACCCAAAGGATAAAATCCTCTTTTCAACCTATAAGACTGATTCTGTTGTTACTCCCATTTTACAAAGGATGAAACTAAGCCTAATCAGGTTAAATAATTTGCCCCAAATCACTCAGCCAGTGAGTGGTAAAGCTGATAGTCTGGAAGGAGAGACCAGCACTTAGCCTCTGGGGCTTCCTGGAGGTGGTGACAACTGAGCTAGATCTTGACAGATAAGGAGATAAAAGAGTATCTTCCAGGCCAGCTGTGGTAGCTGGCTTATGCCTGTAGTCCCAGCACTTTGGGAGGCCCAGGAAGGTGGATTGCTTGAGGCCAGGAGTTCAAAATCAGCCTGACCAACATGGCGAAACCCCATCTCTGCTAAAAATACAAAAATAAGCCGAGCGTGGTGGTGCATGCCTGTAATCCCAGCTCCTCAGGAGGCTGAGGCACAAGAATCGCTTGAATCCAGGAGGCAGAGGTTGCAGTGAGCCGGGATTGCGCCACTGCACTCCAGCCTGGGCAACAGAGCGAGACCCTGTCTCTTCAAAAAAAAAGTATCTTCTTCAGGCATAGATCGGCTGATTGTCAACAACAGCAGAAACCCTTGAGCCATCATAAAGGACAAAAGAAAGATTTTTCCAAGGATCGAAAGGTGTTTCTGAGAACCTATAGGCAGGAAATAGAGTCACAGGAACTAGAAAAAGCCTGCAGGAGCCAGGGCCGCTGCTTTCTCTGGACTTGCTGCTTCTCTTGCTTCAAGTACCCTCTGCGTGCGTCCTTCCCTGTTCCCCCCTTTACCTCCACATGGAAGTGATTGCTCTGCATGGCCCCTCCTCTCAAGAGCCCAGCAGAGATTGACAAGTTTTCCAGTTTCAAACCTAACAGATGCCTGGAAGAGAGAAGCTGGCCAGCTTAGGTCCAGCGAGTGTGTACCACTGGTTGGTTCATCTGTGCCCAGGGGCGTAGGTTACATGACCCACTCATCCAGAGCAGTAGAACAAGGACATTGACTGGTGACTGACATTTCCTCTGATGAGACAAAGGCAGCATTTCTACTAAGAGCCGCAAATGTGAAGGCACAGAGATAGGAATCATGAAACGGGGCGAGGAAAGAGAAGGCAGCCAACTATGGGGAACCATGGAGTGTCTAAAGAACAGTGGTGAGGCTGGGCGCGGTGGCTCACGTCTGGAATCCCAGCACTTCGGGAGGCCGAGGCGGGCAGATCACTTGAGGTCAGGGGTTCGAGACCAGCCTGACCAACATGGTGAAACCCCGTTTCTACTAAAAATACAAGAATTAGCCAGGCGCGGTGGCGGGCGCCTGTAGTCCCAGCTACTTGGGAGGCTAAGTAAGGCAGGAGAATCGCTTGAACCTGGGAGGTGGAGGTTGCAGGGAGCTGAGATCGCGCCACTGCATTGCAGCCTGGGCGACAGAGCGAGACTCAGCCTCAGAAAAAGAAAAGAAAGAAAAAGAAAAAGTGCGGTGAGAGGAAAGGCGGGGGAGCGGCTCAGGGCGGCTCCTTCGTGGCTCCATCTCGGGAACTTTGCGTTGTCTGGCAAGGAGCGATAGAGACGGTGGTGAAGGTGTCTGAGTGGACGGAGAGTGGTAGGTGAGCCTGGCAGCAGCATGTGAGGCGAATCGGCGTGAGGAGATGGTGAGATGGTCAAAGCGAGAGGGAAGGGCCTTTCCTTTCTGGGTGTCCTGATAGAATTTAGGTGAGGGGTGGGTCACGCAGCCTGCCTGTGGTCTGGTGGCTAACGTGAGCGCCTCCCTCCCAGCCCTGCCTTCGCAGGCAGTAGTTTCCCTGTTTCTGGTCCGCCCTCCTCCAGCTGGGCCTTCTTCCCCTGACCTTGCTGATGCTTGGTGACCACCTCTGAACGTCAGAATCCACTCTGTTAGGCTCACAGTGCGGGCTGCGTTTGCCCCGGTGGGTCCAGTTTCCCCAACACACTGTGTAGTGCTGACCAGTGTTTGGGGTCGGCTCCATTCCTCGCTTTCTCCCGAAACAGATGTCAATGCCAATCGTGTCATCCCGAGGAGACATGGAGAGCGTCCGCCGCTGCCTGGCTCACAGCCTCTTCATGAGCACCGCCGAGCTTCAGCCAGACGGCACCTATGCCACCACGGACACCCACCAGCCGGTGGCCATCCACCCGTCGTCCGTCCTCTTCCACTGCAAGCCGGCCTGCGTCGTGTACACCGAGCTGCTCTACACCAACAAGTGCTACATGCGGGACCTCTGCGTCGTGGATGCAGAGTGGCTGTACGAGGCTGCCCCTGAATACTTTAGGAGGAAGCTGAGAACCGCCAGAAACTGAGCCGCCCCAGGATGCCAGGATGCCACCAGAATCGCTGGTCCCTGGGAGCTTGGACTCCAGTCGTCCTCACAGCAGCCTTCCAGGGTGGCGCTTAGAGAAGCCTTGGAGTCAGCTGAGCGTGCCTGACTTCCAGGGGCTTGAAAGCATCTTTGCTTCACCTCCTAGGACTGACCCATGTAGACATGGACATTTCATTTGTAACTGGAAGCTTCAAAATTATGATTCTGGTTCTTACTGGGTGACTTTGACTTAATTAACACCTGAGCCTCAGTTTTCTCATCTGCCAAATGGGGGCAATAATAATAATCCTTATAAAATTGGGTTCATAAAGTTTAGAGAAAATGAATGGAAGGTACCCAGAACTATGCCTGGAGCACGCCACACAAACAGGGAGTTGGGAGCCATTAGGCTGAATGTTGCTGTTTCCACGTGATGTGAATTAGGTACAGCAACATCCCAAGTTCTTGTGACTGAGGGCGATTTTCTGGAAGGGCCACAGGAGGTTGCAGAGCTTGGATGTTGCCCTTGGTTCTTGTTTAACGTCTATCTGCACGCAGTTTTAAAATAGAAAACACAACTGACTTCTGTAGAAGTTTCCAGAGGGAGGTGCTGTTATCTCGTACCTCCTGGGATGGCGATCCCTACTGAACACTTATGTCTAGAGGTGGACCGCTCTGTCTGTCTCCAAGCAGAGACCAGTAAAGGAGCCTCCTGGTCCTCGGTACGTGACCCTGTTGGTGCGTGACGCTGTCAGTGCTTTCAGGAGACATGTAAGCTTCCTGGGTGAAGGCTGATTTATACCTTCTGAATCCTGTCACACATAGACATGGGAAACTGGCCTTTCAGTGTTTTGTGTGTGTAGGTGACTCCCACATACACAGTTGCCATTTTTCTCTCTAACTGGGCACCAGCGAACATGTGGGCATGAAGAGTGACTCGTACCATTTCAGCTGTTTCTTTTGGGGCAGAGCCCCTGGTCAGAGGTGGTGGGGGTGGGGAGGGGGGAGGGGTACATAGAACCCAGAGAACGTTGGCTTATGCCAGAGACCACACCACATCTGGGCTTGCATTCTTGTATCTTTCTCGGTGTGTGGGCGGGGGGCGGTTCAGTGAAGACCAGAAGGCCTGCTGGACAAATTCGAAAAGAGCTGGAGCTGTAGCACTTACTCTTGCGTCTTATTAATGTGCTATGATATTTTTTCCTTCTTCGTAGGGACTTGGGGACAGTCTGGCTTTGCTGCTTTCTAACTGCTAGGCACCTCCCTCTAAGCCTCATTGTCAGAGGGAATTGGAGGTCTCCACAGTCTTCCTGTTCTGACATTCCGAGCAGAGAAAAGGCACTCACTGTTCCTCTTAGCTATTTAATTATCAGAAGCCAGTAATCTTTCCCCAGACAATGTTCTGTCCTAGAAGTCGTCGAGCTTTGGCTCTTCTGTTGTGCTTATTTGGTCCAAATACATCTGTGGGTGTTTTGTCATTTCTTACTGAATGAATCGTAGTTATAACCAGGGGCCAAACTGCCCAAGAGGCTCTTCAGAGATCACGGAGGGTCTCTCTGGAAGCTGTGGCCTGAGGGAACAGCCCCATCCCAGGGTCCCATCTGTCCGGAGTTGGGGATGTCAAGTCCAGCTGAGTCTTTATTTCCAACGCTAGCCACGGTCCTGCGCAGTCAAGCTCTCAGTGTTTAGGGCTCTGTCAGAAATGGTTATATGTGGGCGAAATAAGATCTGACAGCTCCTAGATACCTTATCTTACTGAATTCTTTTTTTTTTTTTTTTTGAGACAGAGTCTCGCTCTGTCGCCCAGGCTGGAGTGCAGTGGCGCAATCTCGGCTCACTGCAAGCTCCGCTTCCCGGGTTCACGCCATTCTCCGGCCTCAGCCTCCCGAGTAGCTGGGACTACAGGCGCCCGCCACTGCGCCCGGCTAATTTTTTCTATTTTTAGTAGAGATGGGGTTTCACCATGGTCTCGATCTCCTGACCTTGTGATCCGCCCGCCTCGGCCTTCCAAAGTGCTGGGATTACAGGCGTGAGCCACCGTGCCCAGCCTTATCTTACTGAATTCTTGAACTTTGAACTAGTTCTTCCACTTACTGACTTGTTACCATGGCTGACTTTCTGAAAAGTTTCCCACAGTTTTTTTTTTTGTTTTTTTTTTTTTTTTTTTTTTGTTTTGCAGTAGGGGATTAGGATGTTTTGTCCTACTTGGTTAGAAAAAGTATTGTGTTTTTAATAAATCATTCACAGTGCTGGTTAAAAAAAAAAAGAAAAAAGAAAATTGTGGGGTGGCTGGGCGCGGTGGCTCACACCTGTAATCCCAGCACTTTGGGAGGCTGAGGCAGGCAGATCACCTCATGCCTGTAATCCCAGCATTTGGATGGGAGGCCAAGGTGGGTGGATCGCTTGAGAAGTTCAAGACCAGCCTGGCCAACATGGCAAAACCCCGTCTCTACGAAAAATACAAAACTTAGCTGGGTGTGGTGGCACACGCCTGTAATCCCAGCTACCCAGGAGGCTGAGGCACAAGAATTGCTTGAAGTTGGAAGGCAGGGTTTGCAGTGAGCCAAGATTGCGCCACTGCATTCCAGCCTGGCTGACAGTGCGAGACTGTCTCAGAAAAAAAAGAAAAACCTCGGGGTAATTTATGTCCAGCGTAAGTACCTGAACAGTTTCCAGAAATGTATATTTTTTTTTCTGAGAGGCAAAGGATGTAAACAGCTTCTAAGTAGCTTTAATGTTTCTGTACAGAAATATGTTTATCACTGTAACATTGTGGTAGAGTTTTAATACAGTATTTAGTTTTTTATTGGGCTTTTTAAAAAAGTTAACTTTTAACATAGCTGCTCAGGGATTAAACCAGATTGGACAACCCATTCTGACTCCACATATTACTACAAGGAAATACATCGTTGTTTCTATTGAGCTGCAAGGGATAGTACACTTTACGCTTAAGAAAGTTAAATGTTTCACAATAACATTGCAATATAACCTTCAGCTACTCTTCTTCAATTGGTAAAATCTGATGGTATGATACCTCTTTGCCAACCTACGAAACCCGTATCTGGAAGAGTCACCAGCTCCCGTGAGCAGCTTCATGTAAATAGATGCACTCCAAGCAGATCGCATGCCTCAGGTGTCTGTCTTCTAGTAATCATGGAGTATGCAACACCCAGAGTAACACGACAAGGGGCAGGACTGCAAACAGCAGGTCCTGCTACAAACCCTTAATGCTGCATTGCTGCCAGTTGTAAAGAGATGCCTGAATGGAGGCGAGTTTTGCCCTGTGGGCAAAACTGATGAAGTACTGTACTGTCATATAAATCCACTAAATCCAGCTACCAGGAACTGCCTGGAACTATGGCCATGCATTTTTTTATTTTCTTTAAAGACCAGTGTGATAGCAGGCCATGCATCTGAGATACGATATTCCTTGGTAACTAGAGGGAGGGAAAAAAAAGTCAAGTAGGTTCAGGCGTATGTTGTATTTTGAGAGTCTGGTTTTATTTGAACAGAAATAACTCTACAGAAAGCTCCTGTAAATAATGCTCAAATTTGCACTCGACGATCAAATCCATTAAAAATGAATCTTGTATATGATGTGTATGGCTTGTTTCTTGGGTCTCTTTTCCATTATTCATAGAAAATTATTTAGAAAATATTAAGTGTTAGTCTTATCATGAGTTAGTAAGACACACCTTCTTAGTAGCTTATATATCCTGGGAAGGTAGGATTGTTGGTTCTTAATCTAAATCTGAACCCCATTTCTGGGTTCTATGAATTTAGTGGAGCAGCTCACAGAACTCAGGGAAACACTTTTACCAGTTTCGTATAAAAGATATGACCAAGGATACAGATGGAGATGAGCAGGGTGGGGAATAGGGAAGAAGCTCCGAGCTGCCACGTCCTCCCTGGGCCACCACCCTCCAGGAACCTCCGCGTATTCAGCTATCAGAGGCTCTCCAAACCCTGTCCTTGGGTTTTTATGGAAGCTTCTGGACCTATCTAAATGATACAAGCCGGCTTCTTGTCCCCAGAAAAATGATGTTCCATTAGAACCTGGATGCAGGGTCGGAGGTGCAGAGAGGGAAGGTCACAGAAATTACTCATGGATCCTGCCCTTCAGGATGTCACAGTCTGGTTGGGTTTAACCCGGTTAAAACCAGCAATGCCAGGAGGTTTCTGTTGAAGAGAATGAAGCCTAAGGGCTGGGTGCGCACAAGCATGAGTTCTAAGCCGATGGAAAAAAGGAGGTTCTAGGAAGGCCTCTTTCAGGAAAACCCTGACTTCTTCCTTTGCTCTTACAACAATCAGCACAGAAGAGTTCTGTGACCAAAGGTTTGGGTTTTTTCCCTCCACACTAAGCAGCAGACACCAGCGGGGTGTCCTCCAATTCAATCCCAACATTATCTACCTGGAGACAGTGTCAGATCCCATGAGACAGTGTCAGATCCCATAGGTTGAGGGCTCAGTCCCCAAGACCGCCCCGACCTTCAGACAGCAATGGCAAGTCTGGGCCTCTGAAACTTCCGACCAGCCCGCTTCAAGTGGGGGTTCCCACGACCCCCCTCTTTGGGTTGTATTAACTCACTGGAGCAGCTCACAGAACTCAGGGAAACACTTTTACCGGTTTCATATAAAGGATATTACCAAGGATACAGATGAGATGAGCAGGGTGGGCAGTGGGGAAGAAGCTCCGAGCTTCCTCGCCGTCCCTGGGCCACCACCCTCCAGGAACCTCCACGTATTCAGCTATCAGAGGTTCTGCAAACCCTGTCCTCATGGGTTTTTATGGAAGCTTCTGGACATCAGCATCCCTTCCCCCAGGGTAGAGGGTGGGACCTTCTCTGGGAAGGGACTTAAGACCCATAATCAGAAATGTGGGAGATTAGAGTCCTGCATTGGGGCGGGTGAAAGGAGGGCGGGAGAAGGGGAGAGTGAGAGTCTGTTTCCTGAGGCCTAACACACCCAACATTATCACAGAACACTGTAACGAGGGCTATGGGAGTTACGACCCAGGAACTGGGGATGAAAACCAATAAATACATAATATAACACCACAGCCTCCTAGAGGAAAGTGACCGTGTAAGGGGCTGGTGAGAGCTGGGGGAAGACAAGAGTGCATTCCACACAGCCCAAAAGCCTGGCGTGCCTTGAAAACAGTAGGTGGAAGCGGCCACTAGAAATAATTAAACAGCTTCGGACAGAGGACTCAGGCCAGCGCAGCAAGAAGGCTTTGGAAACCGGATTCGAGGCTTCCCGGGCTGCACCGGAGGCCTCCAGCAGAAGGCGCGATTCCGCCTGGGGCCTTAGGTCCTCAGTGCGCCGGCGCGGGAAGCGCTTCCGGGCAAGGGCGGGGCTTCCGGCGGCGCTTTAGGTCGCGGGGTACTTGGGCCTGGGTTGTCCTTTGCATCTGCACGTGTTCGCAGTGGATTGCGCGATGCTACCTCTGCTGCGCTGCGTGCCTCGTGTGCTTGGCTCCGCCGTCCCCAGCCTCCGCGCTGCCGCGCCCGCCTCGCCTTTCCGGCAGCTCCTGCAGCCGGCGCCCCGGCTGTGCGCCCGGCCCTTCGGGCTGCTCAGCGTGCGCGCAGGTTCCGAGCGGCGGCCGGGCCTCCTGCGGCCTCGAGGACCCTGCGCCTGTGGCTGTGGCTGCAGCTTGCTGCACACTGAAGGTGAGGTTCGCGCACGCGGGCCAGGGGTGTGGTTTGCGGTTCACGGAGGGGAAAAGACCAGGAGTGGGGCCTGCAACCGACCTCCGAGGTCTGGGACATTTTTCCATTGATTGGCAACCAGCGGGTTAAACCCACGTGTGATCATATTCCCCCCACCTCCCCTATCCACCAGTTTCATTTTCTGTTGGTAGGGGGGTGAATAAAATTAAATACTAGAGGGTACCTTCATCCTTAGTCTTATTCTCTCGAAAGTGGACTTTTGGGAAAGCCCAAGGTCGTGTTTGAAAATAGCATACGATACAACTATCGTTTGGCAAGTGGAAGAGGATGATCGGAAATTCTTCTGCTTTATAGCGGAAAGTGGTAATGCGTTCATTGTTGGAAATCACTTTTCCAGCATCAGGCTCAGCTTCCCACTAATATTATGGTATTTTTACAGATAAGGAAACTGAGGCTTCTAGAGTAACTGTAATAGCAGAGAGATTAGAAATAGTCCAGGTTTCTGGCTGCGATAACCAGGGTAATAGTTTTATGTTTTAGACTAACTGGCTTTCCTTTTTATGTATATGGATTTCTTTTCTAGGAGACAAAGCTTTTGTTGATTTCCTGAAGGATGAAATTGAGGAGGAAAGAAAAATCCAGAAGCATAAAACCCTCCCTAAGATGTCTGGAGGTTGGGAGCTGGAACTGAATGGGACAGAAGCGAAATTAGTGCGGAAAGTTGCCGGGGAAAAGTAAGTACTGGTCTGGGGATCCCAGGGCACCGACTCCCTTAACCTTGCAAGACCCGTCCTGGGTCATCCCTAGAAGAGC